GTGGAATGCCTCATGTCACGTCTGGGAGCTCGCTTTGCTCGCTCGCCTCCGCTTTGACAAGACCCCCCCCCTTTCAACTAATGTTATGCATCTTTCTTCTTCTTAATATAAAAGATTTATTAAAAATAAAGGAAAAATGAGATCCCCCCTTCCTCTTCATCCTCCTCCTAACCCCCAGCCTCCTTGTGTTCRCCTGTTCGGGAGGCTTACACCTCTTGCGTTCTGAATTACGCCTCACGCCTTTAGGTAGTGGAATGCCTCATGTCACGCCTTCGCATTTTAAAACATTGATTTAGAGATTCTTTAGGTAAGGTTGTAGCCATGTACTCAGGACTGATGGATTTTGGGGATTCTTTGAGAGCTGAATTATTTGCACTGCTGCAAGGACTATGGATAATGGAGTAACTTTTTTCTGTATAATAAAGAAGTAACTTGGGCTTCAACAGGTGGAGGTGGAAGGGGACTCCAAGTTAGTTATATGATGGACAAGATCTAATACTCCAAGTGCTTGGGTGTACAGGCATACCCTAAAGGAAATAGGCTGCTAAGCTAAGGAGATAGGCACTACCTTAAAATGGGTTAGGAGGATTGCAGATAAGATGGCAGATTCATTAGCAAAGCAGGGGGGTTTATAGGCAACAATTGTTTTGGGCGAAGTTGTAATTGACCTACTCTGTTTAAAACAAGGGCTTGTGTAAGTTCTTTCAACATTTGTTTGTACTGTTCATGATCAAATTTAGTACAATAAAATTCCCTTTCCTGATCAAGAAAAAGTAAGTGATAAGTCATTTAGGTCACCATAATTACAACATACAACGCTTTCCATCCAAAAGTTGGCATTCAAACCAAAAGCAACTTACTGAGGTGCTACAACCAACAACTTGCCAACTAATTGAAAAAACAAATGGGTTTTAGCCTAGTGAATAAAATCTCCAGTTGTGATACAGGAGGATATGCTTCATTGATGTGAATGAAAAAAGTATTACTTTTGTTGATTCTAATATTTTCCATTAAATTTCATTTAACAAATGTGCAGTAATCAGATGCAAAACATATTGATCAAAAAAATAAATCAGATGCAAAACACCAAAAAGGTTCTGCCTCTATTCGCATTTGAAAGTGGGGCCAAAACTAAAGATGTCTAGAGGATGCATATAAACTTTCTCTTCTCATCAATATAAGATTATGAAGGATAACCTCCACAACTTTAAAGAAACACATGCAACACATATACCTGCACATGTATCTGGCTCTTTTGAGATGTAGATGGGTATTCCAGTAGCCTTGGCGCATGAAAATTCTACAAATAACTCTCTAGAGTTTCTAGAATTCCTTGAAATTCTAACAAGAAGACATATAAAATGATAGTCTCAAGTTTAATGGGATTTAATTCAGTTTCACCATTGAATGATCAAGAACCTTTAGGTGTTTGCTTGACGTTAAACAAAAGACATTCTTCAGTTTGACTCCACAAGCTGAACAAAGTCGGAGAGGGGATAACTACTGAAAATTTCAACAGACTAATACTAATACTAATTAACAAAACTTAAATGTTGTGTGTATATAACCAAATAAAAATTCTACTAATGGTGATAGAAAGGAAAGAGAGCCCAGCTGTTTGATAGTCTAACAAACAGGAATACAAAGGACTAATGTGATAGATGTTGACAATGATTAGTCCTTTGGATTGATAGAGTCATTAGTTCATATCAAATCCAATAAGTTACCTTTTAAGCAGTTTCTGGATTGTCACAAAAACAACAAAATGGCTTTCCCTAAATCTACAAATGGATGCCTTCAGAAGTTCAGATAAATAATTCAGCCCTGTCAAGGGAGTCTGCTTGTTTAATACAATACCTCAACCATATACAGTTTCTTTTGACATGTTAAAGAATGCACAAACTAGTGATATTTTCTCTTTTCTTGCAGAGCATGGAAATGGGTAGCACCATATGGTTGGGATAAGGCTTTATTGAGTTGAGCATTGTGTCCAAGAGATTCTTATACCACACATCTGAAACATTGTTGAGGGCCTACCTGGTTTGACATACAGGGGACCCGCTTGATCTTGCCCAATGTTTCAGGTGTGGTCTAAGATGCACTTGTAACTGGTACAAAAGAGAAAAGAACCTGACTGTTAGCATTCCTACAAAAAACATAATACATAAACTATTTTTTGTATGATCATCTATGATTTGTAGTTCATAATAATTCTCATTAGCAAGAAAGAATATGCTAATCTAGCAGGCATTTATGGCATTAGTGTTTCTCCCCTCAAGTATATTAAAAAGGGATGGTGAGAATATCAGAAAGTGCCTAGGTCATCTAAAATAAGTTGACACAGTACACCAAGTGCAGTGCACTTGAGGTTATTTGATACTATATAGCTGAAAAAAATGGTATAGGCATTTAAATGAAAGACCTTTCGATAAAAAAGAGCCATAAATGCCATAAAGAATATCAAATATTATATTTACAACATAAATACATCTATTTTCTTTTATATTTTGATTACAATCTAAGCATAACTTCATTTCTGCTCAACATGTCTAGTGATCTTGTAACTTGTGTTATAAATTGTCCTCTTTATGAAGCTAATAGCTAAAAATTTAGTAATAAATGTTGCAGATGTAATAAGAGCTTTGTACAGAAATATATAAAATAATTATAAGAATAGAAGAAGGTGATTAACCATTAGTCATCTGTTGGTGGGATTCTTCTGCTTCATGCAGGGTACGCAGACTCTCCAGTCTAGCAGCTGCCATCTCTCGATCTGAATCATCTGACTCTGTGTCCTTATCCTCAGATGACGGCTCATCCAAATCTTCTCCATCTACTTTCTTTTGTTTCTTTTCTGTTGTTTTTCTCAATTTTACTGCAGCTAGGTGCTTTCTAATTAGATCTCTTACTTCTTTTGGCACTGCCTCACACCCCCTAATTTCCCCCTTTTTACTTGCTAAATGTTTTTTGAAGCGAGTAACACCTCCAATCATGGTCCTATGGCAATAGTTACATTGTACATGGTGCCTATGTCCTCCAACCATTTTTCCATGTTGCCATCCTATGTCTCTGGGGCGTGGCATTTTATTAAGCAAATTCCAGAACCCCCAATATGCAATTGTAATCCCAATTTATGCAAGCCGAAATCCACAATACTGCATACAATAAAAAGCAAAACATAAAGTGTGCAAAGAATAACACTTAAATGCATATAAAATGCAACATTATTTTAAGGCATAAATTGCATATTATTTCAAGAAGTAGATGAAGAAATAATTCTTCTCCTCTTAATTTTTCACATAAACTAGATCTAACACATACACAGTGAAGTGAGTGATAGAAACAGATCTCCACATTTTAGCAATATATTTTTTATTGGACACAATATTATAGTTAAAACATCTGTAAGTACAAATGGTTAAATCAGGGCACTTTCATTACCTTGTGTGGTAATAGAAAGAGTGGGTAACAAATAATATATATACAAAGCATAGACATTGCATTGCATATATCAAAATAAACCCAAAAAACATGCGCAGTAACAAGAATAAGCATACATAAATTACCAAAGCAAAATTATCAAAATAAAAAAGAAAACCAAAGCAAAAGAGCATAAGAAAAGAAAAACACATTACTAGATGATAAAACATTCACAATGCAAGGATATGAAAAATACATGAAATCTAGAGAAAAATAACTAAGGTAAGAGAAGAAAAAGACATATAGAAAAGAATTAAACAGAAATCCAATAAGATACATGCACCATACAGACAAGCATGATGCCATACTTATTTGAGAGAAAAGGCAGAGCGGCAAGGTGTTGTATTTATGAAATGGATCAATAGAAGAATGGATTTCTACTGTTGTCTTTAATTGGCCTTTTTCCAATTACCATTTTCTGCCTTTAGTTCAAAAATGGCAGAGAGGTAATTAAAGTTTCAACGTCAAAGTAAGTGTAAGAGAAGATGGGATGCTGCCAGTGTTGTTTGGACTTTTCCCATATGGATGATGTGTCTGCAGGACATGTGTCAAATTTTGACACTCCACGGATTCTTGAGGGACACTTCTTAGAAACATTTTCTTTTCTTCTCCTAGTATAGTTGACATAAATGAACAGCTAGTGTACAAGATGAGTGTCATATTTGCTAAAAAAGATTAATTAGGAACAAAGACAACATTCTAAACTCTTCTTTTGTAGGTTTATAATGTTAGAAATTAAAAAAATATGAACTATTTTTCCTGTTGATGTGTATTACCAAATATGAAGTCCTTTTTTGTAGGTTCCATATTACCAAAGGTTGATAAGAGGCAAATGAAATTAATTCCTTCCTCTAGGAAGAAATTTAATTTGGTAAAATGGGAGAAAGTATGTAGGTTGAAGTGGGACGGGTTGGCAATAAGAAGGATTAAGGAAATGAATAAAGCCTTGTTAGGAAAATGACTTTGGAGGTTTGGGATTAAGATAAATGTGTTGTGGAGGGTGGTGGTGTGCAAGTACAGGGTGACTAGATTTAAGTGGGATTCTAATGAGGTTTCAGCCTCATATGGGGTTAGTGTTTGGAAAGGGATATTCTAGGCAGCATATGCAAGATAGACACAACTTTTACTTAGGAAAGCAAGTAGAGCACAATTTTGGGGAGATGAAAACTTATGTCCTAGACTTTACAGGCTAAACACTAAAGACATCATAGTTAATGTTTTGTAAAGCAACGGGATCAGGTGGTTTGTGTGTCTGATTTTCAGGAGGCAATGCTGGACAGAAAATGGGAAGAATTTATTATGATGGTCTCTAGGTTGGAAGCTTCGAACATTGATCTGATGAGGTTGATATTGGATGGTAGAAAGGAAAGTTTACAGTGAAGTCCTATTAAGAAGCCATTGTGAGGAACCAAGAAGTGAAATCAGATCAGATGGCAATTTGGGGTAACCTCATTCCACCTAGAGTTGAGGCATTTGCATGGTTTGTCACACTTGACAGCATTTTAACTTATGATTATTTGAAGGCTAGAGATTTTCAGTTGCCATTGTGATGTATAAAAATAAGGAGGAGGATGCCAAGTACTTCTTCATCAATGGATAGAAATAATTTGGGGTTTTCTTCTTTGACATCTTCAACGTGCAAATATTTTATTCCAGGTAGCCAGAAGAAATCTTCCCATCTTGGCTGAGGATAACAGGTAACAAGAAAGCAAAAATTATTTGTAGTGTAATACCTTTGGCACTTTTTGTTTTCTTTTGTTTGTTTTCTGCTTCTTGGTAAAACTCTTCATCTATCTGGATGCAACCTTTTCCTTCGCAATAAAATTTCTCTCTTGTTATTGAAAAATGCAATTACTTCCTCTAGATCTGTATGGACCTTCCAATGGCTCTCATGATGAGCCTAAAAATTCAAGTGAGCCTGATTCAATTCCATGGGCCTAAAAGTATTCCCTAGTAAGCCCAGGCCCAATAAATTGCTGAGTTGATTCAAAGGCCTGCAATATGAGTCTACTCCAGCAAGCCTAAAGAGCTTGCCAACTCAGATGGACCCCACTGATCAAGAACAAAACTCAAGTGGACCAACACAATTTGCAAAGGATTAAATCATAACCGATCCTCTCAAGATTTTTTTTTGATCGGTAAACAATCTTCTCAAGATTCTCATAGTCAAATCTTTTCATGATTTGATTAGACACTCAAGATTTGATAAATATTTGGGGGGATTTAGAAGATTCATTTTCTAGCAAGTATTTCTTCTTTAGTTTCATTGTTTAAGAAAATAAATATATACATAGATCTCTATATAAACCCATGTAAACACTCTCTTAAGCATTGATTGAATGAATAAATGACGAGTTTTCCCTATTGAAATGTTTGGTGTTGATTCCCAACTTATGAAGGTGGTGATTTCTTCATCTCTAGGTGCTTACTCCTAAAGAAACCTAATAGTGCTGATTCCTTTGGGCTCTATCTTTATGATAATAACAGGTACTCTGTCTATTCACTGCACCCTACTTGCATATCTTTGTTATTAATATCAAATTAAGTCTTCTAATATCATTTTAGTCTTATCCTTTTCTCCATTACAAACCAATCCCCCTAGTTCTCTTTAGCTCCCCTTTATTCTCTTAATATATTGTTCTTTCTTGTCTTCATTGCTTCTGCCCTAAGCTTATATAGCTCTCAGCTCAGACTAGCAGAGAGTCTAGAGACTTCCTCATTGTTTCAAATCCTATGACCTTGTCTCTTAACTGGCCCTTCCAAATTGTTCATCCATGGCCTAACTTGTAGGATACATTTCCTATCCTCTTTACACCTCTATTAGGCTATTAGACCTGTTTCCTTACTTCCCTCGTATTTATCAATTTTACAAACTGCCCCATATTTTATCTGTGCACTATTGATTGTTAAATTTAGGTTAAGTATAGAACTAACAAGATGAGGGCTTTGTGGCATAATTCTATCTTGATTAAGCCAGAGAAATGAGCTGATGTTTTGGGTGGGTCAGACATAAAGCCAGAGAAATTTAACGTTACCAGAATCCCAAATCAACAACTTTAAATTATGAGCTCCTCCTTGAGGTGATGATTCAATGACCTAAAAACAAATTGTCCTTTTTATTACTTTATTTTCCATATCTTCCTTGCATTAACATTTCAGAATATGCTTACTCTCCATTGTCCTAGCCATGATTCCCAGAAGCTCGTTAACCACATAGGTTCTTACACAAACATCCCATTTTTCTAGTTGGGCTTGTTAAATGCCCTCTTTGCAGTCCCCACATTTGGGCACTTTAATCAGGCCCTAAGCTCCACATGTAAAACAAAGCCAGAGCGCTCTTGTTGCAATCCTTTCTAACAGACCTAAATCAAACCTCAAACCATACATTAATCCTCTGAATCTTTTATCAAAGACCCCACAGCAAGCTGAGTCAAACTCAATAAGTCAGATTAAACTGAGAAACAACTTCCTATTCCAGCTCTAGGGTCATGCCAAAAATTTCTTGCACACAGTAGATCCACGGAAAAAAAATGCAACTCAACAAGCATTTTCACAACGGCAACAAAACTCAATAATTCAATTATCATTTTTTGACTTCATCAGAAACATTTTCTCAATTTCTCAAGCTTGGAGCTTCTCTGTCACTCAATGCCTAGTATACCAACAATCAGCTTACTGACAAAACGAGGAAGAGAAGAACATTTTTCAGCAGTCCTGTGAAGTGGCGAACCTCATTTACACTTAATTACCCATCTAAAAGAATGATGAGAACGATGCTTAAAAGGGAGAAAAAACAGAACTTGCTACCCATCCAAGAAAAGGGAAAAGCAGAGTCTCAGAAATTCTCCATAAAAACAACAAATACAAAACGTTGAAAAAGGGAGAAAAAAAAGAACTCGTAGTTACTCGTATAAGCTGCCTCCGACACACAATGACGGACAAGCCGAAACACAGACCGCAACACTGAACCTGAGATCCATCAAACACGGTATCAACACAGAACACAAAATCAAGATGAGATAAACGGCAAAGCCTCGATCAGATTCATCCGGTTTCACGGTTTGAACTTAAAACAGTACCTTTCGATCGAAATGTAGGTATCGGAGTAATCGGCGACAGAAGCCGTCGTTTATCGTCTCGGCCGTTGTTTGTGAAGAACGGGGTGGAGTATCGGAAAAAAGAGGAAACGATAGAAACCCTAAAAGTCGTGATGTACCGTTTCTTGATTTATCGTTTTTTTATCTCTTTCTCTCTCTCGTTTCCCTTATTTGACCGAGAGCCCAAATGCTCAATAGTGTGTGATTTGTCACTTGCGCCGTATCGTTTCGTATCTCGGGCTAGTCAACATCGCGTAACGTCATTTTGTTACATAAATTTTCCGGGAAGAGCAATGCCAAGGATACGATATTTTTTTTCTTTGGACTTTAGAAATGCATCGTAAACCACGTATCTGAAATACTGTCTCGGTTGGAGTGGGTCCCGCACGTTCTTTCTTACAAAATATTCGAGATTTGTGGTATACGCAAATGAAGGGATTTGAAAAAGACGGCACGATTACTTTCAAGACTCAAGACAATTGGGCTGCTTCAGGATTTTGATTACTTCAGTTTTCTTTGGCTCCCACGCCGTATGAAGATTTCCTTGTACCTACCAATTACATTAGTCCACATCAACGGTTGTCCTACGTTAGTGAAGACTTTTATGTTTAGGGCCAAGCCCAACCCAGCCCAGTCCAACCCAAAGTTCTATACATGGGCTCACGTTTGAGTTCAACGCCTGAGTTTGTCTATCCAAGCTCACCCAAGTTGTATGAGCAGCTAATTAGCTGTTCTAGCAATATTGAATTATCCACAAGGACGTGAGGCGAGATAACATGCTACTACAATCTACAATAGTGCTTTTAATGCATGATAAAAAAGGTTTTTTATGCATATTTAGGGTCCGTTTGGTTTAGGGTTGGAATCAGAATCGAAATCTTTGAGGGGAAGAATCAGAATGATCTATCCCATAGTCTGTTTGATTTAGAGAGGAATGAAAGTGGGAATTGGAATCAGCAGGAATGAGATTTCATTCACAAAGCAGAAGTGGGGAAAAAAAGGGGAATGCTATTCCAGAAGAAATGAGAATGGGATTCCAATTCCGTCCAACCAAACAGTTGGGATCAGAATAGCCATTCGGATGCCAATTCCAGACCCCTATTCCTAAAAACAAAACAGGGCCTTAGTACATTTACCTTTCATTTGGGTTACATAATTCAATTTAGAAATGAAAGATGTATAAATGCCATTACCTAATACATACATACAAGCATGCCAATGAATTAGGTTATGTGGTAAATCCTTACCGATCCAGACTGATCCTAACCTGATAGGGTCAGGTCAGATTAGTTAGGTTTTGGGTTGGGTTTGGATTTAGATGAATCCATGCTGAGGCCCATTCACATTGCAGCATTGAAATATATGTATATATAGGCTTGGTTCAGTATAGGTGTAGTATATATGGGACAAGTTGGATTGGGTCAGGTTGATGATGCTTTGGATTGGATTCGGATTGAACAAAAAAAAAGTACAGGCCAAACCCGACCTATTAACACCCCTGATTTTATATGTATATGTTTTGTGCAAAGTTGAGTTGGCTAGGCTTAGGATGCATAATGCTTCAACCTAAGTTTAACCCAAGTTATAAAGCTTGGGCCCAGCCCAAAGCCTGAGAATTCAAGCCCAATCCCTGCAAAAGCTTGAGGCTTCCTAATTTGTAGCCTTAAACGGTGGATAAGGGTGAGAGTTGAATACCCAATTTGAAGAGAAGAACTTATACTGCCTTAGACCCACCTAGCCTTCAAGTCAGGTTGCTTCAGATTTTAGCAAATCCTCGCAAGGGTGGGCCAAGAATTAGACCCACCCCCCTAACAGCTTTAGAGTAAATTTCAAGAATTATATTTACAATTCATGTTCAAGGGAAAATGGTTTCCTTAAAAAAAAAAAAAAAAAAAACTCAAACAAAGCCCTATACGATGGGTAAAAGTTCCAAGTAGTTATAGGAACTCTTTTTGTCTAATAAAAGAATCCCACGTAAGCAAATGCATCCACTTGGGATAAAGATCCCAATACACAGAATATCTTATGGAGTTGGCAAAATAACGAGAGACCGATGGTCAATAATTAAAGGGGTTGTTTGGTGCCATGGTTGGCTAAAATCCTGTATGGTTGGAGGTCTTTATACTTTATAGTTGTAATGCCTCCATACCGAGAGAGAGAGAGAGGAATCACTTGCTGCTGCATCAAGTGGAGAAGATGATTGGGGGGAGGGAGAAACACAAGCATTTCTTTAATTAAAGGATATTTTGGACTTTTCACCATGTCTGAAACGCATTTGAATGCTTTCGTTGCCTGGCCAGGGTCTTATTATTTCAAATCTGTAAATAATTTTTATACCCAAATTTAAATACACTTCCAAACACCTTTGGCGTCAGAAAAGCAACATTTTCAAACTTTAGAGGTATGAAAAGTGTTATCAAACGCCACCTTAGTAAAACTTCAAGGCATATATCTATTTGGGTAAAATACTTAAACCTCCCTTCAAATTTCTCTTAAATATTGAAACATCCCCTCGCTTTTTAAAATGGACTAATAACTCCCTGTCTTAGTTATTTCCAATCAAATCATTAAAAATTCTCTTTTGTCCTTATTAAATCATTAAATTTCTAAAACAAGGGGAATCATTTGAAAATAGAAAATAGAAAGTGTCCCTTTCTACTTCAAATTTCTATCCTATTTCAAGCTATGATAATTGAAACCGAGCAACTCTATCCACGTACTTGTACTAGTTTTAGGTATATGTTGGGATCTGTTGCAATTTTTTTTCAGCACTTTTAGGACAAGTGTTAATTTTGTAAAGGTGTTTTCATAAAAGTACTTCTATGAAAGCATTTTTATAAAATCGCTTTTATAAAAGTACTTTCATAAAAATGATTTTATAAAAGTGCTTTCATAAAAGTATTTTTATAAAAATGCTTTTGTAAAAGACTTTTATAAAAATACTTTTGTAAAATTTGAAAGAAAATGAAGGATAAAATAATAAAACATGCTTATTGGAGAAAAAGACTATCAAATGCCAAATATAGAATAAGTACTTATTTTTTGAAAAAGTTAGGTGTCAAATGCAAATAAGTATGCTTTTAATTAGGTGCTTTGAGCTTGACTGTATATTTCTCATAAAAGAGGGAAGGCATAGCTAAGACAAAAAAAAAAAAAGGCAAATAAGTTTTCACCTCCGATTGCAGCATCTTAAGGCATTTTGATAGATTGATTGCTGGTTTTGCTGCATGACAAACGCTATTAATGTTTGGCCTCTACATTTTATGCAGATATGAAATATTTTGCCTTAATGAGGTGAAATTTAGTGAAAAACACCCTATTAGAAAATCTTGAGTTATAAAATGTTTACATGTGATTTTATTGTGTTTAATTAAACTGCAATGTTTGATCACTTATGCTGTATTTGGAAACAATGCAAATGGAGTGTAAATTTCGGTTCAAGGTAAATTTACACTTTGATTCATTTTTGCTTGTATTTGGCAACACTACATTTATGCATTGGCAAATGACAGACCAATGCATATTTACGTTGATAATAAGATGTAAAAGTACAGCAATAAAAAAGAAGTAAATTTGTACTCAAGTGGGCTTTTGATAAAAAAAAGCATATGCTTTATTGGAATTCATGTTTGCATCCATTACAGTTAAAATTCTGTTTGGTAAGAAGGTAAATTTGTTAGTGCAAAACTAACTCAAAGATTTTGCATTCACACTTATTTGCATTGTTTTAAAATATAACCTTAGGCTCAAAGATTTTGCACTCTACATACTTGCATTTATACTCCTTCCAAACTGATCCTTAGGCTGTGTTAGATTGCAGGGCAATTTTATTGGCACTAGTACAAATGCATGGGAGTGCAAATGAAAAAAAATGCAAATTCTCGTTTAATTTTGTTTTGGGTTTTACTTTATTTTCCTTCATGTCTTAATTTAATTCATTTGTATTGCAATCAAACAAAATAAGCTAAAATTTGAAACAAAAATAGGTCAGAATTGACACTCAAAATATTTTGCATTGCCATAGTTTTGCATCAGTGCAAATTTATTTGCATTGCAACCAAACACAGCCTTAAGCTCAATTTGGAAAAAAAAAACACAAATATAAATATATACAAAATAATACAAAATATAATATTTTGCACTCTATATATTTGCATTTGTATGACGTGTCATGTTATGTACGAAGGCTATTGTTCAAGTCATGTCAAAACCCACCATGTTGCCACCATTATTAGTTAATTATCATTAGCCTATGGAAGCCAAGAACCCACCTAAACCCAAATTCATTTCACCCATGCATCCTGTAACCTAGAACCTCCCAAAACCAGCTCACTTTTAGCTAAGTCCTAAGCTTCTTAAAACCTAAACCAACCAGTCCACTCTCACCCAAGTCCTAAATGTCTTGAAATTTAGGCTGTATTTGGAAATGATGCAAATGGAGTGTAAATCCCGGTTCAGGGTAAATTTGTACTTTGTTTCATTTTTGCTTGTGTTTTGCAACATTACATTTATGCATTGACAAATGATAGAAAACACATTTTCTAATACATATTTACATTGATAATAAGATGTAAAAGTACATCAATAAAAGAGAAGTAAATTTGCACTCAAGTGGGCTTTTGATAAAAAAAAAGATATTCTTTATTGGAATTCGTGTATGCATCAATTACATCTAAAAGTCTGTTTGGTAAGAAGGTAAATTTGTCAATGCAAAACTAACCCAACTTTGCAATTTATATGGACCATTTTACACTACATATTTGCATTCTCACTTATTTGCATCGTTATCAAACACAGTCAGGTCTTGTTCGTTTTCATCTCTGTAATTTACCTGAGTAAGTGCACTTACCCAGGTAAATGTTTTCTGAGTAACATTTACTTGGGAAAGTGCATTTACCCATGTTCTTTTGATTTCTAGGATTCCCAAGTAAATAACAAAACGACATTTTTACCCATAAAAAAAACTAATATAAAATGGGTAAAGTTATCCCATTGTGCTTTATAAAATTTTCTCTTGGGTGGGAATGTTACTTACCCACTTGGGAAATGGGTATGCTTTACCCGGGAAAGTAGAGCTTATTTTACCGTGGGGCCCATTAATAACTGCAAAAAGAACGTAAAATTGGTCAATGAAAAACAAAAGATACCTATTAACTAACTTTCCCAAGCTTATTTACTAGTAAACAAATGGGGCCTTAAACCAACCAGTCCACTCACCTAAGTCCTATACCTCTTTAAACCTGAAACCAAGTCAGCTCTTATCTAAGTTTTAATCCTATTAAAACCTAAACAAACCAAATCTACTCTTACCCAAGTTCTAGACCTTTTGAAATCCTAAACTCACTAACTCACTACTGATTAAATAATGGGCTAAAATTAATGCTTGAACCAAAAGAAGTGATTTTCATTAGCTAGTCCCACGGCAAAATTCCATGAAAAAAATCACTATCTAGTCCCGTAAAAAAAAAAAAAACCATTTAAGACTATCTAATGAACTTCAGTGGGAGATTGAACAAATTAACATGCTTTATTTTAAGTAAAAGCTATATTGGGCCTTATAAGAATGGCATATTGAAGAGCAGCATGCACACTCCTATAATCAAATGGGTCAAGAAGAAGGGTGGCATCATACTTGAAGATAACATAACTAGTAGGAATATGTGTATGAACATTGGCTTTAAAGCATCCAAATTGCAACTAATAAGAAAATCCATAATATACTTTCTTTGAGAAACAATCAAGTTATCATCAGTACGTTGAGACTCAACACCCAAGAAATAATGAATTGAGTCCAAATCTTTGTTTAATAAATTGCAGGAAGAAGAGAAATTGACACAGATTCCTTATTGCTTGTCAGCAAAGATATCATCAACATATAAATAGATCATTTTGCTTGTACAATAACGAGAAAAATTAACATTAGATGCAGAAAGTTGAATTCTTATAATTTGGAACTTAATTTAGAAAATCAAATATGTAGAGCTTGCTTAAGCCCATATAATACTTTTTTTGTAACTTGCAAACATGAGAAGGGAAGTTAGAATCAACAAAACCTTGGTATTGTTTCATATATATATATATATATAAGCTTATTCTTTAAACCTTGGTATTGCTTAACCTGTTTCATGGACCAATTTGTTAAAGCAACAATGCCCAGAATGACTCTTATGGTGGTTGATTTAAGCTATGGACTAAAAATGTCTTACACGTTGGTACGAACCTTTGAGAAAAACCTAGCTTAGTCTACTAGGTGAGCTTTTCATTGTTTTCATCAATCAAGGTTTTTAAAATTGAATCGGACAATAAACTGGTCAGGATCTGTTTCTCGATCGAACAGTCTGATCGTTCGAACTGAATGGATGGCCTGTTTTGACAAAAAATTAAAAAAAATAAAAACAGCCAAAACCGTTGGACAGTATAAATGGTTCGAATGCCTAGATCAGCGATTTGCTGACCAAATCCATGATTTTTGGCAAAATAATGGTTTTAGGATAAAACAGAATCGATTACCTGACTCGTTCTCAGTTTTTCTGGTTCGACCGTCCAGTCCGATCTGATTTCATCAACATTCCTTTTGAGTTGATAAATCCATTTAGAACAAATGTTATTCATATTTAGCTGCGGTGAAACAAAAAGCCCAATTGCATCATTTTTAATTAAAGCATCAAATTCTTCATTCATTGTTTGATGAATGAATGAAGAAGTTTGTGATAGTGACCATAGGATAGGTTCTAGCATATTGGTGTCAATTGGTAATGAATCTTTCATAATAGATTCCATGAATTGCATCTTGGGAACCAAGGGGGATATAGAAGATGTATTTTCAGCCAATGTTTTAAAAGCCGACCTTGAATTGGAACGGCTTTGGCCACTGGTTTTTGGGTCAGCGATTCAACTGTCTGATTAGAACAGATGACCTGCTATCATTTAAAAAAAAATAAAAGTAATTAAAATAAAAAACAACCAAAAACAATTGTCTAAGTCAAATGAATTATGGCTTCATCTCCTGGGTCAATAAGTTATTGACCAAATTAACGGTTTTTGACTAAAAAATGGGTTAAGAGTGAAACAGAATTGGTTGCCTAAACGGTTTTTAGACCGAACGGTCTGACTGTCCGGGTCAATGATGATTCGAAAACCATGATTTGAGCAATGGGTATAGAGGGAGGTGATATGATTAGGATGGGTTAGAAAATGAAATAGTGGAAATAGCAAAAACATTCTCATCAAACACAATATATCTGCTAATAATGATGTTATTAGTGATTACAATTGAGTTTTAAACATGTAAAGCAAATCTATAGCTAAACTTATATTTGTTAAGGTATGAGTAGCAAGCACACTTGAAAAACTTTAAGAGAAGAGTAGTTGGGTTCTACATCAAACAACTTTTCAAGAGGAGATATATTATTTATTTATCTTTTTTTTGAAGAAAGAGGAGACATATTATTAAGAACTAGTGTTGACATTTTAGTAATAACAACAAAATCGGTACTTTCGACTTTGGAGTGCTTGATTTGAATATAAAAAGGGGTTTTTTAGTATACACTCAACCTCAGAATTCATAATTTGGTCGTATAGTTTGAGTCGGTGTCAAGGGAGAAAGATTCCCAATTCAGGGGGAGATTCATAATTTGGGTGTCAACGGGGGAAAAGATTCCCAAGTCAGGGGGGAGATGCTGTCTAGTATATTGCACAAACTAAACGTGTCATGTGTGGAGAGCAATGTTGATAGCCCAGCTTGTTTGAATTCAGAGAGCCGGATATTTTTTTTCACAACAACCAGTGTATGCAAGTGTTGAAAAGTTAGCTCTTGGTGGGGTCCATCAAAACCACAAGGTTGGACAATTATTTCCATCTACCATTCTCAATTTCCCATTCCCACAATAATAGGTGTAGACCGGTGAGTACAATCCACTGTAAAATCCATACATTGATTTTATATCTATCCAAATTAAAAGAAGAAAGAAGAAAGAAAAAACCAAAATCCATGTTCTATATACTCTACTAAGCTACCACACTCCATTGATCTCTTATCTCATTAACCGTCAGCCATGTCTTCCCCTCCACAGACGGAAACCGTCTTTAACGTCGACCAAACAACCCCACTAACGAGAAAGAATAGCAAAGCTATCAAATGGTCTCTACTGATACTCAACTGCACTATTATGGCTATAGGAACCATAGGCGGTCCTCTGTTAATGAGGCTCTATTATCTTCATGGAGGCAATCGTAGATGGCTCTCGAGTTTGTTACAGAGCGCTGGGTTTCCCATCCTTCTGATCCCACTCTCCCTCCTCTACTTACGCCATCGGCGGCATCGCGGCGTCTCACCCTCCGAGTTCTTCATCGAACCCAAGTTGTTAGTGTCCAGCGCTGTGCTTGGCCTCTTGCTGGGTCTCGACAACTTCATGTACGCACTCGGCTTATCTTACATTCCTGTATCAACTTCTGCTATTCTGTTCGCATCTCAGCTTGCCTTCATTGCTGGGTTTGCGAGGTTGATAGTGAAGCAGAGGTTCACGCCTTATTCAATTAATTCCGTGGTGTTGATGACTATTGGGTCGATCACGCTTGGGATTCACAGCGACGGAGACCGGCCGGCCGGAGTCTCCGACGGGGAGTATCTCTCCGGCTTCTTATTGACGTTGGGGAGTGCATTGCTGATTGGGTTCATCTTGCCTAGTATCGAGTTTGCTTATTCAAAGGCGAGCCGGGCAGTGGATTTAACAGCAGTGATGCAATTTCAGTTCAACGTTGGGTTGTTTTCAAGCATCCTTTCCGCCACGGGGATGCTGATAAACAAGGATTTCCAGGTTGACCGTTGATGGGCAAAGTGAAAGCACTACCTATCTCTTTTCTCTGTTCACTTTACAGTTTACACACATATAGCAATTTGTTTTTAACATAAGCATTTATTCCATAAACACTCACTTAAGTTATGTTTGGTTTGAAGAAAAAGGTAGAGGAAGGAAGGGAAAGATAGGAAAACCAAACCTAGCCTTATTTTTAAGATAAGCATTCCCAAGTCCCAAACATGGCTGAAGTCTCATAGAAACATAATTGAATGAAGCTATTATATTGCTTCAACTAGCATGTCTTCTGTTGTAGTAGTGTAACTGTAGAGATCAGTCTTAAGAATAAATACTAGTCCTTGTGTGTCAAAACTCCTCCAAGAGCTAGAGCTAGCTTGCATGGGGGTGGGGTTACGACGTTGCTAATGGTTTGTAGAATGAATTGATTTGCAGGAAATTCCAAGAGAGGCAAGGGAGTATGAGCTTGGACATGGAATGTATTACTTTGTGCTGTCTGCAAGCGCCATAGCTTGGCAGTTATCTTTTGTAGGACTTTTAGGCCTGATCTTCTGCACTACCTCTCTCTTCACTGGGATCTACAGTGCGGTTCTTCTTCCTTTCGCAGAGGTCGGGGCTGTCATCGCCTACCATGAGAAGTTCACTGGAGAGAAGGGGATTGCTTTGGCCCTTTGCCTTTGGGGCTTCACCTCTTACTTCTATGGAGAGTACAGGAAGAGTAAGGTGGAGACAAGCATGACAATCGATGACCAATCGCCTCAGCCATGAATTGCCTACAATCCATATGGTTTTATCCTTAAAGCCCAATCGCCTCAGCCACATTTTGTTCACTATTTTCTCTCTTCTTTTACATCATTTTTACATGCAGTTTTTTTTTTTTTTTTGAGAACGGTGGTAGAAAAGAAGGTTTTCGGCAAACCCTGTATTCTCTATTCTTCATATGGAATACATACACTGATTGTTCTCTCTCTCTCTCTAGGTTCTTGGGTGGAAGGATTTGAATAGGGTGAAACTTAATTTTTTGAACGGGTTTTAGACTTTTAGGGCCAAAGGTTTTGAACAGGATAAAACTTCATACATAGTTGCTTGGCCAACTGTTATAGTCCGCTTGCCCAGTTGCCCCCATGGCAATAATGTCGAACCCTTGAACCTCTTCCTCTTCCCCTCTCTTTTTTGCCCAGTGTCTCATTCTTTTAAAGACTCTTAATGCATCATAAAAGGTAATATGGTTTAATTAATATCATATAAAAAATCTATGAGATTTTAGAGATCCTCAAAGATAATCAAAGCCTTATGTATAATTTATTAGAGTATAGGGTCTTGTTTTGGGCAGGAAAGATAGCAAACTATTAAGTGATTATGGAATTGGCGTGATATTGTTTAATATGGTCTAGTTAATACCGTATATAAGAAATTTAAAGCCTCTATGTGATTTTAGAGATATTCAAAGACATTTGAATCCTCTATTCTCAATTATTAAGGTATAGGGGCTTGTTTTGAGAAAAAGGTGTAATAAACTATCAAGATTTATAAAGTTGATGTCATATTGTTTAATATGGTCAGATTAATACCGCATAAGAAATCTATGTGATTTTAGAGACGTATATGTGCCTATTTTGAGTGAGCTATAATACCCATTGTTTGTGGGAACTGGGAATAAATACTCTCTATTTGTCTTTTTTTGTTTGTGTTGTTGGGAGGAAGATTTTGAAGAATAGAGAGGGACTGACTTCTCAATGTATAAACAACTAATTGGAGAAACAAATACTTGAGCAGTAGAGGATTTCAAGAATTTTGGAAGAGAAGCGTTTCAAAGAGGTTCTATGTTTTTTTCTATTCATCGATGAAAGACATGAACTAGTTGGTTTTTTCTCTTTGATGAGCTTTCAGGCATGGGTGGAAGGTTTTCAACAAGGTAAAATTTCATAGACTTTTAGGGGGGAGGGGGTTGAGAGGAACTGGGAGTATTATTAACCCACCTAATGGAGTTCAGCCCGTGTTGTAACAACAAAATGTGTAATCCATCTGATCTTTTTCTTTTTTGGGTAAATTACAAAGACTCCCATTGTACGATGGGGTTTGTGATAAAGACCCCTTGTAATATGACCCTGAGACAAAGATCCCTTCCGTTAGTTTTTCTTAAAATTCGCCTTTTTAATCCCCATTCTACCCTTGTAATAAATATTTAAATAATTGAGTGAAAAGCACTATTCATCTTCTCCGACCTCACATACACTCAGCGGCGAAAAATACTGTTCATCTACCAAACACCATCTCTCTTTCTTTTCGTTCTCTACTCCACTTGCTCATTGGTTCAGAACTTTATTCAGATCTCTCTCGCCAGCGACAAAGCGGCTTCTTCTCTTCTGCTGCTTCCGCTGAAAATGGCTGCCCACCTTCTGCATCGGTACTCTTGCTTTTATTAGCCAAAACGTTGCTCCTCCGATCAGCTTTTGTCGTCGATTTTGTCTTCAACGGTTTCAGTTCGTCTGATCTTTTATTCTACGGCACCGCAACGCTCGAATCCTGTCTGCTCGTCCTCCATAGCTCGTATTCAACGTTTTCATCTCTGTGGCGAAAAGCCCACTTGTTCTAGACCCATCGGCGTACGAGTAGTCGTACTGTGGAGGCGAATGTGGTTACAGGGCTGGTGTTTCACCGGAGCAAATGCGGTTGAATGGCGAGCCAAAAAGGCCGAGCCTGGAGGGTGTTTGCTACAGTTCCAGCAAGCAGAGCACTTCGACCCAGACGAGATCGCTACCTGTATCCGCTACAAGGAGGAGGCTCTGAGGTGGGGTTCCGATCCTGAAATCGACGAAATACTGGCCAGCTCATTGATGACAGCCCTCTTAGATTACAGTCAACGCTCTCAGCCCTCTTAGATGATTCCATTCTCGCTGATGTCCTGAAGAAACCCACACTTTCCGATGTGAACAACCTTGCATGTCAACTTGGAAATGGGCAGCGCTACGAGAATTTCCGTTCTTAAAATGGACGGCACAACCTTTCGGTACCCACCTTCCTCTTCTCCTGATTAATTCATTGCTTCGTGCTCGTGGTTGCCACATTTTAGCGAACACATTACTTACGATAGGAAAAGACAAAGAAGAAGGGTCCTATGTAAGGACATGGTTCACAATTCACGTCTTATTCTTGAAATAGTTTCTTTTTTTTTCCCCTTTTTGAGTAAATTCTCTTGATTTCTAGTGATCTGACTGACCTAACTAATTAAAGAGTAGCAGAATGCATTTAGCTTTTTGTTGGCTTTAGTTTACTAACTAGTTGAGCCATCTTGATGAGGATGCGGCTGTGCTGAGGATCTGAAGTTAGCTATCAAAAAGAAAACAAATGAGATGGAGCAGTCGCAGATGGGACATCGATGCGCCGGAGACAATGGGAGCCTTGAAGGCTCTACGTCTGCGCAAGGCCAAGAAAAGAACAGAGAGATGCTCAGAGTCCAAAGAGAAAGCTTGTGTTGGGGAAACAAACGGATTTATCTGTAGCAATCGTAGTTTTAAGTATTCCACTTATCTGCTGTTGTTGAAAGCAACATGGGTGTTAATGAAAGAGAAGAGAAAGAGGAGAGAAAGGGGAAGGGGAAGAAGAGAAATCGGGGACAGAGAGAGGGAGAGAAGAAGAGAGAGAGAGATGTGAAGGAATCTGAGTAGAATGAATTACCACCATTATTGATATTATATGTGAGGTTGAGAAAGATGAACAGTGTTTTTCTCTCAATTATCTTTGTTACGGGAGTAATATGGGGATTAAAAATATTGTAATTGTAGATTTAACGAAAAACTAACAAAAGGGAATCTGTCTAACGGTTATAGTACAAAAAGGTCTTAATCGCAAAACAAAATATAGAAGGATCTTTGTCACAGATCCTATAATACAAGGGTGGTCTTTATAATTTACCTTTTTTTTCTTTTAATTTATCCCAATAAATAAGGTAATGTAATTTAATGAAACATTTGCACAGGTCGTAAGAATGGAAACCATTAGAACTGGTGCAAAGTGAGCATATGGATGAGTATTTATATTGGATAATCAGAAAAGTACAATTTGGGTATATTATTTTTTCTTTGGAAAGTAATATGTTTATCTTACTTGTCTAAAAAACAAATTATGGTGGCACTTTCCTAGATAAAATAAATTAATATATTTTAGCCATAAGTGCAGCATGTGAATTAGTTTGACTTAATTAAATATATACTATTGGAACCTTCAATGTGTACGGAAATGCCTATAACTATGTATTGTGAGTTGTGACCACTTCAACTATTTGAATGACTAAAAAATTGGGGTCAGTTTGGCACGTGAGAAGATCTTCTAATAGCTCTAACAGCTAAAAGATTCATTGAGTTTTTGACATAAGATTTGGGTAGTTTGAAGACAGTTTGGCAAACGTCTTTTCATGCGTCTGCCCATGTCTTTCCACAAGAGATTAAAATGCGAAAGGCGTGGGAAGATTCATTTGAAGCTTTCCAAAATCAGCTTGAAATAGACTTTTCGTGTCTTTTTGGCGGCTAGATCTTTCATGAGCCAAATGGGAATAGATCGAAAATCAGTTTTCCTGGCTTGTAAACAACCGAAAGATTGCGTGAAAAGACGTGCCAAACGGGCCTCAGTTTTGTTTATGCTTTGTTGAACACTTGGGTCCTAGTTCTTGGTTTGTAGTAGTTGTCAAGTCCACGATTGTTGAATACTTCCCTTAGGGCCGTTTTTGCTCCAACTCCATTTCCACAGTGAGCTTTGCAATCCAATATTTATTTGACACATGATATATAAAAGGTTGGGCCTTGTACCACTTTAGTCCCTAAGCAACAATTTAATACTTGAATTTTCAAAATATGCCAATTCAATACCTGTTGTTAACCATCCATTAATCAACCGTTAAGTGGCATTTGAAAAGACACACATGTCCTTTGAGTGTTATCTAATTTTCTTTATCAACCATACAAACATTGATGAAAAATGAATAGTCCCAAATCCTTATTTCTTCTATTCAATGAAGTTGGAGTCACCAGAATGTCCACTCAGACGTGACCCCAACTTTCTTGAATAGAAGAGGCAATGACTTGGGACTGTTAATTTTTTATCAATGTTTAAATGATTGATAAAGAGAATTAGATGACACTCGAAGGGCATTTGTGTCTTTTCAAATGCCACTTAATGGCTGGTTAGCCGCAAGTACTAAATTGGCACGCTTTGAAAGTTTGAGTACTAAATTATCACATTTTAAAGTTCGGAGACCAAAATGACAGTAGGCCCAAAGTACAAAGTACTAATTGGGATTTTTCCATATATTAAATGGAGACCAAGGGATACAAAATAATTCAAATTAAAATAACTAAAAACAGCAAAATAGGAGTCTACAACCCCACTGTTCCACCTTCAATTCCAATAATCTTTCTCTGTTTTATGCATGAGAGACAGGAGAGCTCTCCTCCTTCCCTTTGATTTCGGAAATCCAAACCGTGTGATATGAAACTTCCTCTATATTGTCCAATAAAGAAGGTTTTGTCTCAAAATGCCATCATGTAAGTTACAGAGAAGAAGATATAAGAAAGCATTCCAATCGCCAAGGGTGTCAATGGACCGTTTTTGGGTTGAATCCCATCCAAATCAAATTCATTTTGGATGGATTAGATGGTCCAATAAGATATATGGAATTGGATCAGTCCAAACTTATTAGTCCAAAGTATTTATTAGATTAGATTGGATCTAGTCTATTTGTAATTGAATCAATATCCGATCCATTGATAGAAGATAACAATATAGGCCTATTGGAGCCAATCTAAATTAAAACCAATTTGAATAGAATGGACAGCTCAGACATTGAATTGGACTGGTCCAAAATGGTCCAGAGTATACATCAGATCAGATTAGACTTGGTCCGTCTATAATGGACTGGATCGGATTGGAACAAATCCAGTTTAATTGACACTCCCATAGCCATGATCCTTTTCCCTAATTTAAAACTAGATTAAACCAGGCTTGGAAATGAAATTGGAACTAAACGTATAATGAAAAGAAATTAAAGGATGCTTTTATGCAATCTAAGTTCAAAAGATCATGGTTTTCAAAACCGGATCGGACCGGACGGTTGCACCAGAAAAACTGGGAACCGATCACCTGACCGTTTCTGTTTTCCCCAAAAACCACTTTTTTCCCCAAAATCATTGATTTTGGTCGGCAAACCGCTGAACCGGACAGTTAACCATTCAAACTGTTCAAACGGTTTTGACCGTTTTTCAAAATTTTTAATTTTTTTGTCAGAATGGGCTAACCGTTCGGGTCGAATGGTCGGACCGTTTGAACTGATAACTAGACCCCTGACCCGTTCGGTCACCGATTCAGTTTTAAAAACCATGCAAAATATATCTTTATGTGGTAAGACTATGAAAGTAATACTTTCTTCAAAGATAAATAAGATTAAAACTCTATAAGCCAGCTCTTTCTTCATTAAAACTCTATAAGATTAAAACTCGAAGTCTTTACAGCCTTGCATCAAGAACATCTCCGTACTTCTGTGTTTTCTTTCATGGGGAGATATTCCCAATACAAGGCTATAATGGCTGTTCTAACGGGCTTTGCACTGGATGAATTCGGTTTCCTCTAGATCAGGTAGCAAGGCACACTAGGAGAGCACAAATGATTAAGAACTTGTGATTTCAATACTCTGCATTAGTTTTTCTTTGTAGTTGGTGGACTCTCCATTTTTTTTTAACATTTCTAGATCTAAGGCTTTTTTATCTTAACAAAATTAAAATTTGCAATGACAGGATATTTTTGGATATGCCACTTCCTAACCCCCCCCCCCCAAAAAAAAAAAAAATAACATGGACAAACCAATCATTTAATTGTTAAAAAAAACAAAATACCACATGGTCTGCTTCTTTATTTCCATCACTGATGAAATCAAGAAAGCTCATGTCATAATTGGTCACAACCCATAGGTTTAACCATTTAGGGCCTGTTCGTTTGCTCTGACGTCTAACATCTAAAAGTACAATAATTACATTAAGAGGTATATTGGTATTGGTGAACTTTTCTTTCCTCTGAACTTTGAATGCAAAGAATGTTGTTCTGAATTCTTTCTGAAAAATGTCAAATGTCCAATTTAACCCCCATATAAAAGAATTTTTGTTTGTCTATATAATTCATTAAAGAAACAATATTAAAAAGTATTATAACAATTAATACTCAATATTATTTATTAATATTTGTTAATAATTAATAATAATAAAAATAATAATTAATAGTGATTAATAATCAATTAATAAGTAAGAATAATTAATGGAACTTTACGATGATAGTTAATATTGTAATTAATTAATTTCTATTAGTATATTACTATATCATATTATAATAAATATTGTAATATTAATAATTAATTTATAATATAATATAATATTGTAATGTTAGTAAATATTATATGATGATATTATAATATAATAGCATTATGAATGTGATATTAATATTATATTAATAATATTAATTATTTATTATTATTTTTACTACTCATAATTTATAATACTATTTAATATATTTAATTAAGTGCTTACTATTTTAATTAGTTAGTATATTATATAGTATAAATAATTATTGGTTTCATTATAATATTATAATTGGTAAATAATATTCTAAGTAATTAATTATAATAATTAATATAATTGATTTTAGTAGCACTATGAGACGATAATTACGAATATATATAGCTAATTAATTATTATGATCATAGGATAATATGAATATTATAATAATATTATGGGGAAAATGAAAGATCGGTGGTTGGTCTAGTGGATCCGGTGGGTCTTGATATGAGCATTAGAGGGACAATATGAAAAAAAATTGGGAAAAGTAGGGATACACGATGCAGAATTCTGAATTCCAGCCCCCGTACAAGTAGCCCTGTCCCCCTATAAACCACATCCTGCCCGTGAATTCATGGTCAGGATGCATTCCCCGTAGTTTGGGCCTAGTAAATTCTGAGCTGGGCTGATTTGTAGGGATACACGTGACTCATTTGTACTTCAGCCATCATTGGATTCAGTGTCAAGAGAGCGACCGAACGCCTCCTTAGACCACTTCAGCGTGAAGATATTAGAGGCACCGAAAAGGGCCTTAGTTTGGGTCAAATCTGACAAGTGACAACATTCGTCAATTTGCAGTGTGTATTTGAAAGGAGAGATAGAAGAGATTGTCACCCATATAATTAGAGAAGGATGAGCAAAAAGGAGGGGTATATCTGGAATTTGGTTTGTCACATGTATAGAAGATCATTTATATCACTTTCATTGCAACTGAAAGGGGGGNGGGGGTGGGGTGTCTCTTAAAGAAATGTGAAAAGAGGAAAAGATACAAATCATTGGAATAAGCGAAATTCACAAACCAATCAGCTACGTGATTTCTTTCCCGGTAGGCGTGACAATATGCAACCTCGGCATCAATACTCTCGATCAAAGACCTGGATCCTTCAATGAACATTCTTAGTCTCCATGGAGGGTCGACCTGTTAATTTATGTCACATGGTTGAATGTTGTTTAATTAATTTTGTTTATTATCTACTCATTTATTTATTTATTTTATTATTTTCTTACTTATTTCATTAGTAAATTAATTACTTATTTTATTAATAATTAGATAATTTATTAAATATTATATATTAGCTATGTAACATATTTTAATATTTTTTTCTTAATTATGAAGTTTTGGCCAAGGTTTAGCACTTATCCATTTGCATTGGTCATAGATGAATTGATTAAATGTATTTAGGAGGAAGCTTCTATTGTGCAAGTTGTTTGTAGATGACATTGTTTTAATTGATGAAATTAATGAAGGATTAAATGCAAAATTAGGTTTATGGACAAATGCCTTGCAAACAAGAGGTTTTAAAATAATTAGGACTACTAAAACAAAGTATAACATGTAAAGTTAGTAATCATAAGAATGCAAATTAGGATATATTTAGAATTGGGACCAAGAGATAACTCAATGTGGCTATTTTCGGTACATTGGTTCAATAATTCATAACAATGGAGAGATTGGGGAAGATGTCACTTGAAGAATTAGAGTAGGATGGGAAAAATGGAGGGGTGCATTTAAACTTTTATGTGATGGGTGAATACCACTTAGATAAAAAGGAAAATTTTGTAAAATAGTTATAAGACCAAATATGTTATATATATGGAGGAAAGTGTTGGGTAATCAAGAAGCAACGTGTCCCGAAATGTGAATGCTATGATGGCTGTGTTGAAAACTATAAAGGGTTGGATGATCAAGAATGAAGGCATTTGCATCTATAGGAATCTAAGAATAGCTTTAATAGGTGATAAAATGAGAGAATTGTTGAAACCACTCGAAGGAAGAGATAGATGTAGCATATCAAACTGTAATGCACTCTAAGTAAATGAAGCATGATTCAAAACTATAGCGCAACAAGAAGAAACGGATTGAGAGCTAGCGCAGCACTAATGCACAACCTTTTTCTTGATGCTAGCAACAATAAACGGCTTGAGCATGTTAGTGCTCGTGGAGTTTCTTGGCTGTTCGAGCATATCCCTTTTATCAAACCTATAGCACAACACCAAAGCTATAGTCCTTGAGCAATGTTGAAAGGACTATAGGTTTGATAAAAGCCCTGCTTTGGTGTTGTGCTATAGGTTTCTTGTTTCCATATATCCTTTCCATTTGCAAAGAACAAATGACATGTACAGATATGGCTGTGTAAGATAAATAAAGACTTGGAAGAAATTGCACTAGAGAGAGATCGTCTTGGCTTACAAGAGGGAGTTGGAGCAGAGTCAGAGTCAGTTGGAGTTGAACAGAGACGGCCAAGTTCCTTGTGAAATGGGTCTATTAATATTGTTTATGGAAGAGAGGAAGACAAAGCAAAGATAATCAAGTTGCTACTCTCTGATGAACATAATCACCCTTGCTCAGCTTGTGTATAACAATATTTTGATCTAAAAACATGGGTATATGTATTAATTTAGAGGGCTATAACATGTTGACCTTAACAAAAAGAATTCAGGAATCTGCTATATACAGGAGGACAATCTTGTAATCTTAATGATGAATTAGATTCACTTCAAACTAATCTTTAGAAGGAATTAAAGGATTGTGTTTTGGATGAAGTCTGGAATGAAAGGAAGCATATATATTGTTCTATTTTTCCAAAAGGGCTATGAATTTGAGAAGGGGACATTAGTAGTACTCTTGTGGATGGCAGAGGGTTTTGTCCAACCAAATGAAAGGATCGAAGCATATGGAAGACATGCATTGGTACCACAGGATGTTCTTTCAACAATCAAGTCATAATAGATCAATAATGCTTATGATGCATGCATGACCTCATGGATGATTTAGCACAGTCTATTTCAGGTTAATTCGAGGATGGAAATAAGAGCAATAATTGGGCAAACAAAATTCCTGACTCTCTCTCTCTCTCTCTCCCTCCCTCTTATCTTCTTTCTATTCAAAATCTGGTCTTTCTAATTCAAATCAGCTCTTTTCATTCTTCTTCCTTANCCCAATTAGAAGACTGTCTGACTCAACTAATGCTCCATACAACATACTATCATTGATATACTCAAGTTGCAGGATGCAGCTCTTGAAGATTATGTAGGGAAAGGACTGACAAAAAAGAAGGAATGTGGGGAAGGATAAAAATAATAGCAATGGAAAGTGTTTAAAGAACCAAAGATTGGTTAATTTCACAAAGATTTTTTCTAAAAAACCAAAGATTGGTTCACATAATAGCAGTTATGTTATGTCATTATAGATTCATAGATAAATTCCAAGGATGTAGTAGGGGCGATGGATCTCAAAGGATGAAGTTCAGAATATGACTTGTTGCTGATGTCTCAGAAGCATTAGAAAAGCTCAACTAGATGGGAATACTTCAAGCATCAGAATTTAACATACATGAATGAATCTGTATACTTCAAGTAATTCAGATTGAGGAGTTGAATAGAATTTAATTTGCAATAAAAATATATATGATTAGTATGGCTTGTAATTAAGGGAATACAAATTAGAAAATTGGATAAATTTCAAATATTGAATTCTAGAAAAGTTTTTACAAACTTTCTCAACCATGTCTGTATTTGATAGGTTTCAAATCAATTTCTAGAAATGTTTTTACAAAATTTCTCAACCTTATTTCATAAGCAAATAAATTCTGTAACTAGGTATTTTAAGAAATAATTTCTAGAAATAAATTTTATATTTCATAAGCAAATAACTAGGCATTTTAAGACAAATATGTGTGTGTTTTATTCTCGTCACAGTCGCATAAACTGTTGCCATTTTTTGCAGAAGAAGCTTTGAGGTACGTGAAGAAAAATATGTTTTGAGGCCCATCTAAGAAGAAGATACCTTTGGTGCTTGTTCACCGGTGGTTAGCGTTTGGCGTGCGGGTGCTATTTCAACCCTAAAAAATTGAAGAATAATATGAGAATGAAGAAGCCAGATCGAAAGAAAATGAGGGACGGCCATGAGTATACCTGGAGCAACTATCTTGAGAACGCAAACGGCGATGGTCTTCCGATGCTATCTATGAGAATGTAGGCAGTGATGGTGTTGAGAACGTAGGCAGCGATAGAATGCAAAAATGAGATGGAGTTTAGGTTTGGGGTTAAATAGGGGCAAATCGTGGCATTTCAAAATTTGTTAAGGGGCATTTTTGACTTTCTGGTATCCCTGCAATGTGTCTGAGTGCGTTAAGAGATGGGCCTTGTGCTTATGATTTCAGATCTGAAAAATCAATCCGGATATGTTTTCAGATGCAATACCAAACGAGTCTAATGTCTAAAAAGTAGATATTTATGACGCCAGACCTCTAAAAAGAGTTATCAAACACTCCCTTAGGTAAATAACTTCTTTAATACTGGTTATTTTATGGATAAAATAATCATTATATAACTTTGCCTAAGAAATAAAATAACACTGGTAAGTACATTTGTTCATGTAATTATTTTTTAAGAAACACTTGCTCGGATAAGTGCATTTACCTAAATTAAGAGGCCTTAATGATGAATATGGCATTAAATAGAAAGGATTGGCAAAATAAGATTTATGTACTGATCCCATATAGTTGGGATAAAATATGGAAGATGATAATGATGATGTGGTGCTGAATAGGACATAATGGCAAAACAATATTCATGCCAGCAATGACACACCCCATCATATGGTTGGGATAAGACTAATGATGATGATTCCGACATGTAGTTGAGTATCTTCATATATTTCCAATAAAAATTCGGATTCAGTTCTCACAAAATCATCCTCATAGCTTTTTGCAGCGGTTAATTAGGAATATTTCCAAACTTGCATGCATGTTTTTATTCCTGAAAAGATATTTCCAATACACAACTACAAGGGTTGTGAGGAGGAAATCCTTTTCTCTTCGGATATAAAAAGTTTCGTTGAAACAAGTAAATCAAAGCCTTTGATTTGCTGTCTTTGTGGGACCATACAGTATACCCAAGGCCATGATTTTCCGTTTTAGCCCTACACTACGACACAGTGTCCTAACACAAGTGAAATCATGGAAGAAAGGGCTGACACAGTGTCCTAGCTAGCACAAGTGAAATCATGGAAGAAAGGGTTGGGCCGACAATCTTGCTTTATATATGCATAGTACAAATACTAGCCCACCGCATCCTCATTAGCATTTTGATGTCATTCTTTACGAACCATGTCCTCCCCTCTAGAAATCCAACAAACCATCCTGAACGGTCAAACAACGCCACCAAGCACAGCTATCAAATCCCAATGGCCTCTACTACTACTCAGCTGCACTGTACTGACTATAGGAACTATAGGCGGTACTCTGTTAATGAGGCTCTATTATCTTCATGGAGGCAATCGTATATGGCTCTCGTGTTCATTACAGAACGCTGGATTTCCCATCTTTCTGATCCCACTCTCTCTCCTCTACTTGCACCATCGGCGTTGCGGTGTCTCACCCTCCAAGTTCTTCATCGAACCCAAGTTGTTAGTATCCAGCGCTGTGCTTGGCCTCTTACTGGGTCTCAACAGCTTCATGTACGCCCTCGGCTTATCTTACATTCCTGTATCAACTTCTTCTCTTCTGTTAGCAACTCAGCTTGCCTTCACTGCTGGATTTGCGAGGCTGATAGTAAAGCAGAGGTTCACGCCTTATACAATTAATTCCGTGGTGTTGATGGACTATTGGGTCGGTCGCGCTTGGGATTCATAGCGGCGGAGACCGACTGGCCGGAGTCTCGCACGGGAAGTATCTCTCGGGCTTCTTCTTCACATTGGGGAGTTTGTTGCTGCTTGGGTTCATCTTGCCTGGTATCGAGTTTGCGTATTCAAAGGCGAGCCCGGCTGTGGATTTTACTACAGTGATAAACAAGGATTTGCAGGTGAAACTGAAATACAAACATCTGAATATGGGACTAAATCGGTTCAGTTAATCGTCGGTTTTTTATATTGATTAATCGAAATTAAATTGGATTTTCAGGTTCGGGTCAGTTTTTCGGTGTTTTTACTCAGCCCTACAAAATGGAGGGATCTAAAAAGTTCAGTGTGGATCTTTGTCATAAATATGCGACTAAGGTGGCCTTTCGTTAAATTTGAAATCAAAAAGGAAAATTTGTTTTTCTACCTTTACAAACATTACATTATTTGAATATAGTGGGGTTGTTTTATAATTTGAATGTTGTGACGTTGAGAAGTTTTTACTTTATTAATTTACCCATCAAAGTCATTATTTAAATAAAAATAAATGAAAATGATTAAAGTAATAAGATATTATAAAAATATTATAAATATAATACAAAATATAAAATATGATAAAAATCAATAAATAATATCAATAAAATAAAAAATGATAAAATAGTAAAAATTATTACAAATCTAATCAAATGTAGAAAAATAAAGCAATAATGGTAATAAAAATTAAATTTATAAAATATATCATTTAATGATAAAAAATAATATAAAAATAAAAGGATATATTTTATATAAAAATAATACCCTATAAAATCTATAAAATATATCAATATTTAATGATGAAAATAATCTAAAAATGGAACAGTTTGACTATTACACAAAAGATCCTAACTTTCGTATGAAGGCTACATTTCTTTTCGGTGTAAATATGGATCGATGTAAAACTTTACTCCCGGTCTGTATTTTCACGCGTTTGTTTTTAGTGTAAGTTTTACATCGAAAATAAATGTAAACCTCCCCCTCGGTTGAGTTTTACATCGATTATCAAACTAAAAAGCTTCAACGATTCACTCATTTTAAACCCATAGGAGTTGAACTCCATCATTGTACTTTTACATCGATGATAGTTCTCACTAAAAACAAACGGAGTTGAATCCTCAGTAGAGGCTTCTCTAGAGGATGCAAGCTCATAGAAGCATAACAGAATGAAGCTCTTGCTCCAGCTAGCATCTCTTCCACAGCGTAGAGATCAGTTCAATTAATTAAGAATAAATAATCCTCTGCTCAGTTTGGAAAGAGTACAAATGCAAATATGTGCAGTGCAAATGCATACAAAATAATATAAAACTAGCAGAGGGGCACTGCATTGCAGGGCTTTCAAAAGCAAAAGTTAAATTATTGTGTAGGAAAAAAATGAATTTGCAAAAGGTAAATTTTTTAATTAAAAGCTTTTAGGAAAAAAATTTACTTAAAATAAGTAGAAATTTATGGATAATAATATATTTAATTTATTAAAATAATAAATAAATAATTTTTTTTAGTTTTGAAGTCAATTTAATATAAATAAATCAATTTTCTTGTCAAATAAAGAATACAAATCTTTTTTCTCAATTTCCTAGTCCGGCATTGGGCTTTATAAGGGGGTTAGGCTTGGGCTCAAGATCTAGGCCTGATGGTCTAGTTATGCTCAGGCTTGGACCTAAATATGTTATGTTGATATAAAAGGCAAAGCGTAGCGTGGCCTATGAATAGGTTAAATCCCAACCCTCGGAGCAAAGACGAGGGGACCCCAAGGAGCCATGCCCCCCTATGGCCCAACAAATCCCCACTCTTCATCTATATTCCCCCCTCCCCCACTCC